GGGGGGGGGATAGAATAAATTCTATTTGAGAAACTTGAACATCGATTTAAAATTGAGTCGTTACTTTTGTCGTTATATTTGTACTTTTTTTCGTTCTATAAAATCATCTCTCTAAAATGCTATCAACAAATTGACACTTGTGTCTGACACAGTGTTTTACACAATGTCTACTTCAACACAAATGTATATGACATTTAACGAAATGATAGTACATATGTATGAAGATTTATTCTCCGTATTTTTAAAATAAAGTTTGACGTTTCCTGTGTATATTTGTTCAGTATCTTCTGATTAATGTTGGCATGCATATAGAAATTTAGTATTCCGTATTTATTACCTGTTACTAGCGATTGTTTTATCACACCTTATTTTTACAAACTTTGTTTAACATTTTTTCGTTTGTATATTACTTTTTTACTTACTATTATTGTATCTATCTCCAATTTTATATTTGGAAATAAACTAACATATTTATTAAAGAGGCACTTATTAATATAAGTACACTTTGTAAGCACAAGGTTATTATTGTGTTAAATAATGTAAATCATAATTTTTGTCAATTTATTTTTTGATGTTTGTTATATCCACACATATAACTCTTGCCAAGTTTCACGTATATCGTATATATATGTACTATAGTAGGCATTTTGATCTTACGTTTTACGTTACATGTTGCAACTATGATTTGTTGTACGTAAATTGAACGATACTTTGTAGAATCTGAATGATTTATAGCATGTATTATTTTACGGCTTAAGGAATTCCGAGCATGTTTGTTCGGAAAACGTGCTATATATGATTAACGTTGTAAACAGAGATGTTGGTTTAGTTCTGGTAATGAAAGGTATATGTAATTTCCTTGTTTTGTATCATCTTTTTATGGTGGAATGGTCAGTCTTAACAGAGATTTAAATACGTCAGGCAGTGTGAGTATAATAGAAATTATATCACCCATTATATTATTGTCTTGTATTCGTTTTTGCGTATTGATATAATATAAACATAACCTCTTTCTTTATAATCCTTTGCCATTCATGTTTTGACTTATATAGTTTATATTATATTAACATCATAATTATAATAAATATTACAGACCTCTTCAAAATGTGATTCTCATACATATTGTACTAAAAATTTATTGAATGAAGCAATTACTTATAAATATGCATTTATTAGGGAGCTGTATTTTTTGATTCGCCTTATAACATGGAAGAAGAAGACCCTCATCTACAGATATTAACTTCAGAAGAAGTATATTTTAAAAAATTGGATACTATACCAATTGTGTCTGTTTCCCTTATATTTAGTGTAAGTGGCAACTTCTTTGAATTATTTAGAGGGTTATATAAAAGAAATTGTTTGTCATGCAAATACTATGTATTTATTTCAAATTTTAGGTGTCTCTAGAAATTATTGGGATTATATTTATATCTGTGTGGCCTGAAGAAAAAAATAAATGTGATACATATTTTATATACTTGTATCTTCACTGTGCATACTGGCTGATAATTATGTTGACAGATCATTTTGTAAAAGCAAAGCATCACAAACTCCGTATTTATGGGTATCTTGATTTTTACCGATCGACATATCAGCAGATAAGGACACCTCTTTTCATAGCGTCATTATGGATAACGTGTTATCTATTATTGGCTGTGATTTTGCATCACACGCATAAAGTTAATTACGAACAATACTGTCATGCTTCAGAATGGTTCACTCCTCTAAATTACATAGTGTTGTTGACCACAGTAGAACTTACAATTATTATATCAGTTTATATACATTACATTAGTAAGTATACGAAAAATTATTGAAGAATTTATAATATATAGGAAGTTGTAAAAGGATATAAACATTGTTTTTCTTACAGGAAAAGTTTTGCGATTCAATCGATTACGTCCTCCAGCTGATGTTGCTAGAGAAGAATGGACATCTTCTTTTACTCAAGATACATATGCAGGTAGCAGTGAAGTAGGTTGCTATCATAGGAGATCTAATTTGGAAGAATTGCTTGAAATGCAGGCTGATTTAATAAGATATTTAAGAGATCGTAATGATAAATTCGGTCATGCAATAATGTTGTTCGCAGCTCAACGTAGTTTACCTGAAACATAGGGTTGTGCCCTATATAAAGTACAAACTTAAGGTAAAGCTTTCTCATTTTTATTTGAGGACTATAGTTGAAAGAAACATCTTTATATTTTATGGAATTCAACTTGTTTTTATTGTTGATATCTCTTTGTTGGTTCTTTCATTATATATACAATATATAAAGAATACACTAATTTTTAATAGCAATCATAACCTGTTACATTTTTACTTGTATCTAAGGTGTGTAATACATATTAATATTTAGAAGTTCTCATACACAAATTACTTTTGCATTAATTTACATTAGTTTGAATTGAAGTTATATTTTATCAATATTGTTATGATTAAAAGAGATATCATATAACAAGAAATCAAAAATAATTTCTGTGATAAAAAATGTATATCTCCAATTCAATAAAGTATATTTTTTTTTCAATATACAATTCTTATAATTCTAATTACACTTTACAGTTCTTATAATACATATATGTTTGTATGATGTTTCTACAATTAGGCTAACAATATCTTCAATACATAATGTTTATTTTCTAAGATTTTACTACAAACGTTATTATTACAGACTATTATATGATAACAGAAACAGTAATCATCTATTTATTTTGCATTCTTTGAAATATTGTTCCATTTTTTCATTATCAAGTTGGACAAATATATACTTTTGATTCGAAAACTAATTTTTAAAGATTAGAAAATAACATTATCGGGAAAAAGAGCGAGATTACATATTTTTTACATTGCGTGCTCGATTTATTATATTGAAGGAGTTCTTAATAATAGCGAGGTTAACATATATGCCAAATATTTCTATTTATATACTTTTTTACATATGTATATGTGCATATTTCTATAAATGCCTAATAATACCTAATTTATGTTAATAAAAACTTGATGCAGTGCGCACGTGAAAACAAGAAAGATCATACTCGTGATTTGTTGGTCCGTATTTAACTCGAACCTTTAGTATTTTATAAGATACCGCAAAATAAGGTTCTCAATAACGATTTTTTTTTACTGTATAACTGCATTGTAAGGCTTCTTGTGGATAAACACCTTAGACGATGAGAAGTATCATATTAAAAAAGAAATCTATTTACAGAAAGTTTACGTGTGTTACGGCAGGCTTAGAGTCCTATGCTATCATATGTATGTATGTTTATGGTATATAAAATTATTTACTTATACATATGGAACACTCAAATATACAATGCTATAAAATGTAGAAGCTTGTACTTGATCGAGACGTACTACGTAGTTATGATTTCGACGTTTTTCTTGGAAATGAAAATATCCTATAAATGATCGCATATTAAAATCAGTGCTAAAACCGAAGACTCTCGCTATTTAGGTTAGTACTATACCTCGTTCCTTGTTTTTTGAAAGTTTGTACTACACTTTTAGGCCAGCCATTTTTGCTGCGTATGTCCATACATCGGATACATCTCATGGTTTCAAGAATGTATACCGATTGTTTTTTATTATTGTCTTATAGAAGAAGTTTTTCAGACTTCATGATAAACGCAAATCGAGATAATCTTCTCGAACTAATTAATTTTGAACATTGTGCCAAATTCTTCTAGAGTAATGAGCAATATAACCAAGTTTCGATTGATCGTTTTTACTTTTATAAATCTGCCGTTTGCAAAGTAGAAGTTTACTTTTCACGAAGTAAAAACGAACGTGGAAACGTTGCGGCGCTTCAGATGTAATTAGAGCGAGGCGCAATAACTTCGTTTCACATTTAAGGACTGAACCATCGCGCCAAGATTTTCCTCATGGCTATAAAGTTCCAACCAAATTTTCTAAGGGTAAGCAGTTGTTGATCAAGAATTTTGCTCCTAATTTTCGTATAATTTTGATCGCTTTTATTCAAAGCAACATTTCGCATTGCAAATGGTTGTTTAAAAATAATTCCCATAAATTTCATTTTGTAGAAATTAATAACCTTTATACCATAGAAATATGCTTGTTTAAAAAATAGTTTTCTCTTACATTTTAACATTGCTGTATTTTCTGTTCAATCGTGGTATTATCAGTATCGCAAAGAAGTATTTTTAATCTCACGCAACATTTTTCGGAAATTTTATAATTTGCCATCGCATTTGAAGAATCGACGCGCATCGCAAAGGCGCGGTGGTCCCAATCATACAACTGCTTTACGCGACCAATAATGATAGAATCACGCGTGCGTAGCTCCCACTACGTTTCCGGTTGCTGAGAGCTGCTCTTCGGCCTCCATCATTTTTAACTTTCTCACTACTTGAGCATGTTCTTCGAGTAGCCTTGCGAATTCTCCTCTTCTAGTTTCGGCTTCCACTTGCATTTGTTTAATTTTTTCTCGAGGTCCGCCTGGACTGTCCAGTGGAGTCTGAGGCGATGAATTCTGAGAGCTGTTTACATTCGACAAACCATCTAAATCCGAGTTGTCGCTTGATATCGAATGAGAATCGACGTCATCCACAATTAAACTGTAAATTAAAGAGAACATTGAAATCTACAATACCACTTCTATCGACGACTTAACAATTAATATTTTTATCGACTATTGGTATGTTTTTTAATTTGGCAGATGCACAGTTTTCGTCTTAATTTTAAGTAAAAAAAAAAAGGAAAACAATTAAAACATGAATTTGAGGCTCGATTCAAGCACGAGATATTTTCGGAAAAGGTTATTGTCGCTGGATACACAGGTATTACTATTTACCACGATTAATAGTAATCAAGTAATTGTAATGAGTAATGATAATCAAGACGTTCATTCTGTATTTTGAATTTCAGTTTTAAGAGCGCAATTTGCTGGCAAAGAGGACGTGATTTTTATAGTTGGTCTAAACTATCGACGTTCTGCCCTGCAGCATTCTAGTGGCAACAATTGTCGCTTGCGTCAATGTTACGTCATTGGTACTGAAGCACGTAGTCTAGGCTATGGATAACGAATTGATTTTACGTAAAACACTGTATTAGAACCCTAAAAATATTTCAGTAATATTGAAGAAGGAAACGATATATACGAGACTTTTTATTATCGAAACGAAAGTATCGGTTTAATTGTACCGGAAGAACATTCTGTTGGGGGGGAAAAGGGGAAAGGAAGAGAGTCTACTCATTTGCGTCATGATCTATTATGCTGGCTGAATGCCGGCTGCGATATAGTGATCTTGATAGAAACATGGCAATTTTCGTAATATATGAATTATTATTGTTAATCTACAAATCATGAGATTTCGAAATCGGAAAAAGTATTTAAATAAATAGACTTGTTTTGTTATTAGATTATTGGGTGATCAACAAAGTCAAAATCGACGTATTATTTGTGTATTAAATTAAATTCATGTTTTTCATTCGCATTTCATTTTTTATTACTGCAGGCTTTTGAATACGCGTTTAGAGATGTGTGCTTGATTCGATCGAGATAACTGAGTATATTCTTAAGTACACTGCGATCAAGGATTAACATTGACTCTACCGTTCTCCTATTTCCGTTACACGATACTTTATACGTATTTCTTTTTTGTTTCTTGCTTTTTATCATTCAATATCGATCAAAATCAGTTGATTTTTTGTAAGATTTTGATTTTATAAAGATTTGCTATCGCTTACCTGAATGCACCGTAAATTTCTCTTCCTGATGCCATCGTCACTGCGATATCAGGCAACGACCCTGAAACAAAGAAGTCCTATGCTGTGACGTAAATTCATTAATTCCGAAGGAATATACAAACACGTGAACGGGCAAAGATTTACGATAGGATAATTTTGCGGATAACGCAATATATAGTGACGTTAATTGGTTTTTTAAAAACTATTCTATTTTTCTCATCGAGTGACAAATAGCTAGGCCCACAGCTCTGACGTGACCGTTGTATTCTCTGTGTCGAGCTAAGAATATTATTAAATACTATTTAATTTTAAGACAGCATAACACGGATAACGTTTCGTTCGCTTTGCCAGACAATGAGATTCTCGTACGTACAAAGCATACATATCGAAATCAATAAATAATTTGTGAGCATTTTGGCAATTGAGTCAAGATGGTTGACTCGATTGTCCAAAGAAATATATAGTCGCGTTACGCTTTATATCGTAGCACACTTCTCTGGCAAGGGCACGATGCGTAAAAGAAGCTTCATTTATTTCAAGACAACGGACATACATATCGGAAAGTACAACTATTCAGACTCGATATAGCATAAGACAATGCTTATCTTGGATCGCTCGTGGAAAAAGATTTTTCCCAGAACAGATTAAAACAGCTATAAACGATTCAATGATAGTTACTTTGTTTGTGGTCTGTAATTCTTGTTTCCTGTTTTGCGCGAAACAAGCAAAACCAATTTTCGATCGAAACGAAATCAATTGTCTTCGCGTTGGACGAAAATATATTATCTAATATTAGCATTGACACGCTATCATTTACGTTTATCATTTATAAGGCCAACAATGTGATTTCCAGTGATTTTCTTACGTAAATTGCATTGCATCGTTTTATTTAACGAAGATCGATTGGCATGCCATTGATGTATTGGCCGTTATCATCGATCATAGAGCAAACGATAAAGATCCTATAAAATACGCTTTCGTTCGAAGAAGTTGTTAGGTCAAAAAGAAATTGAATCTCCGGTAAAAAATATTATTCGTCATAATAAGCCAATAAATAGCCGGCTATTTTCTGTGAACGACGTGTACAAATTTATCTGATGGAAGCGAACCAAATCGGGTGCATTTACACGTGTACGCTTCACACGTCATATCCTACGTTACGAACCACGCGAATTTCAATTATACTTTACTGAATGCATTTCGCCCTTGCTAGTAATAGCAGCGTTTAAAAGTTCGACGATGAGGTCAGAAAATGAGAGCGAATCGAGAGAGAAGGTGCATTATCTGTGATAGCTAATTGCTGAGAAATCGCGATTATCGACGGCTAGCGCGAATTCGCCAGAATAATCGATGATGTATAAGGAAGATGGTATCCCGATCTGTCTAAAATAGAATCACGAACGCGAATACGACGAGATCGAAACCTTGGCCCCATAGAGCAAAGCTTACGTCTGTTTCGTTGATAAAATGATTAATTAAGCACCGCGTGAACTAAATATCTCCTCCTATTCAGGCATCGAGATCTTAACGAGCAATCACCTTGGAAACACATTTGACCAACGATGCTACATTGTGTGTGAAGGATGTTAATTACAGTTAAAAAAGATGCGCGAAAAGAAAGTACCGATATGTAATATTCCGTTACTAAATGTTCCTAAATGTTACTAATTGTACATTCGGTTATACGTATAGCCGTGAAACAACTAAACACACTGCTTTACAAGCTATACAGAAGGAATTTTCTTTATTTGGTAGAAGCTGGGAATCGACCTTCGTAACCACACGGGAAGGAGGATCGAGCTCGAGCGAGGAGTGCTTCGCGACCTTAGACAATGCGACCTGCACACGAAATATCCACGAACCGTGACCACTTCTGCGAGCTAAACGTAAGAGAAACGAAGAAGGTAAGAAAGTCACGAGCCGACAGAGAGGAAAGTATCCTCTCGTATTATTACACCGGATAAACGTCAATGCCGTTTAGAACCAGTTGTAACGTTTCTACTCGAGATTCCTGTGTCGATCTCGAGCTGAACATTTTCATGGCGGTCTGTTAAAAGCACTTCGCTCTAATTGCATACCGGAATCTTTGACTCAAATGTACGCGTAAAATACACAAGTTAATACACAAGTGTCTGGACCATACCTGAACGAGCCTCAGTTTCGAATGTCAGCAATTTCTTTTCACTTTCTTTTTGTTCCTTCAAATAAATTTCAAGCGAATGCGAACGAATTCTAGCAGGACAAAATCACTAGACAACGAACTTTTTATATTTTACGAAGGCGGCATCTAACAACAGCGCGAAATTTTGATGGAAGACGAAGGGATAAATGTAATTACTTACCTCTGACCATCTGTGTTCGACAAGTTCCTGCTGTATGAGCAACTTCTCTCGTCTCTTCTTACTCCTTTAAATAAAAGTTAAGGAAGAGTTTGGCAAATTTTCTATGCTTGATAACGAACAGTATGAGGGGAAAAGAACAAAAGGTCCTTAAGCGAAAGAATACGTTTCAATAGATAGGGCAGTGAACGCATCCAAAGACACGACACGGCAGAAAGCACAACGTTCACTACTCGAGAGACTCGCGCAGACTGATCTGCTTGGCCTCTATCGCCGCGCTACAACCTCAACAGCAGGTTACCGCTTTACCGGAGAAGGGGGATGCAATCGACAAATTTTATTTCATGCTACCCCGCCTTTTCCTTCTTATATTCCTTCTTTTTTCATACACTCAAGAAGCTTCCGTTTCCATTTCGTTCATAGATATGCTTATTACTAATCGAATGCCAAAAGAATCAAGACAATGGAATACGCGCTGTTGATACTTTTACAAAATTGCTAACCGTGAAACGATGTTTTGTCCCGAAACGTAGCAATTTCTCAATGAAAATTATGAAATCGACGTATAAAATTGGCTGTATTTCTATTCTTGCGCGTCACATTTTTAACTCCGTTGATCTATTTTTAAACGATCGGTCGTTATTGTTGTTAAATGATTTCATAAAGCGTCGTCGAGTATTCGTGCACAGGCAATTAACAATTGTCCGTAATTGTTTTTCTTCGCGATTCTATTCGTTAATGGCGCGTCGAAACAAAAGCCAGCGAAGGAGAAAGCAATTTATGATAGAAAATCGGATTGCGCTTGAGGGAGCCGTACGAACGAGAAAAATCTTTTTGAAGTGACAAACTAACGACAAAAGAAAAGTAACTGACTATATTCGAATCGATGTTTCTTAGAAGCGGATATTGGCAGCTTATTTAACTAACAGATGAATCATTCGTAATGACGTTCATACTTCTCTCTGAATTTCGATTTATATCTTCTGCGTAATAAAATTGTATTTTGCACGTAAAATCAAAAAACAGGAAGATAATTGAATTCACGGAAATCTCATTGAAACAGACGTCTAAAGGATATGTATATAAGGAAATGAATATTTCACGAGCATTTTAGGGCTCTCTTTGAAATTGATTCATCTATTTGTTAATAAAAGCAATTTTTCCTCGTACAAGAGTTCAATAGTCGATGTTTCTATGAAGTCAATAACAAACTCTTAAATCGTTAGTTCTCGATTATAATCCGGGTGTCCCGTTGTTAGTCGATGCACGTGACGCTACGTGCTAGTCGATGCTGTAAATGGATCGTCCATTAATATCACGTACAATGTATTCCGAACGAAAGGGAATCTTTGATTGGATGCCCGTGAGAAGTATCTGGGTGATAATGAGCGCGGATGCGCCAGGAACGCGAGCGATCTATGTCGGATTTCAGGGTCACCACGAGACGAAGACCATACAACTCTTCGAGGAGTCCAGTGGTAAATTATTTCGGTTGGTCGCTAATTTTGTCGCGGTATGCCATACCGCGCAGAGAGCGCGGTGGTTAACCATTGCTACGTAGAGCGAAACAGTTTACTCGTTGTCTGCGTCCTTCCACGCTTATCTCCCCGTTCTTTGCATTCTTCTCCCGCACCCTCCTTTTCTATTTCTTTGTCTAGGTTTTTTCCAGGACATTTGCTGGACGATTGACTCCCTGTTTTCGCTTGTTAAAGTCAGCTAATCAGTCAGAATTGCCCTGGAAATGTGGAGATTTCCACAAGAAATGTATGCGATGTATCGCACAACAGGTTATCAAAGACAGGTATTAACTTTCTAATGGAAATAATGTGAGCCCGAAATAAATTTGATCCAGGCATAGCGAATTAGTCAATAAAGGAGTTAATTACGTGACGAGGTAGAAAATAAATAACGCGGTGACTACCCAAACTGTACCTAAAGCACGCTGTGAAATCGTGAGAAGTTAATAAACGCAAATGCGTCAGCGATAGCAATCGTCGAACATATCTGTATGTGTGTGTCAAATCAGGAACGAAAGGAGAAGAAATTGTAAGGTCTTCGATAAAGATGAA